GTCAGCGACTGTGAGGCCGGAACCACCAGCCAAAGGCTTGCTGTTATCAGCGTCTTCAGAGTTAAAATTGCTCCCCTTGTTTGGCGACAATGCAAGAGCATCCGTAGTGGTGACACCATTGTCAACCGCAGAGGACGCGGAAGGATCAACGACAGCCTTGGAGTGCGATCCCTTAGGCGGAGCCATAGCGTGACGATGAAGTGAAGGCAGCTCTGCTGAGTGCAGAGAAGAAGAAGAAGAAGGGTTAGATGCTTCTGATGCCTGAACTCTAAACGCAGCACCATTAAATAGCTTGATACTCTTGTCTGGGCCCTTGCGCTTCAGAAGAACATGAAACAAACTCGAGGAGTGAACCTCGGGAGCATAGGCCGTAATATTCTTGATAGATGCTGGTTGAAATGTAGACTGCTTAAACTGTGAAGATCCATGATCTCGAGCTTGACGGACAGATCCCGAGGTAGCCTGGCTAACATCTGAAATGAACGCCTGATAACTAGCAAAGCCGTGATCAGCATAAATGATGGATCTTCTGGTAGGTGTGTTACAGACGAAGCGATTGGTAAAATCAGATGTTCGATATGAGACTCCTAGCAAGGACATTGACCGAGTCAAAGGAAGCGAAATCCATGGCGGCCAGCGTGTCATTGTCATTGTCATTGTTGTTGTTGTTGTTGATTCGGATGTTAGCTTTCACCCGCAATCAATTTCCCAAAGCATCGTTATCACCGTTTCCCTAATTGTCGAAACCCTAATCTGCAGACGTTAGATTTGTGCATAGGTTTTTTTTTCTCTCTTTTTCCGTCAATCTACATATTTCCCGCCTGTCCGCTTTAAGCGCGCGCTGGTTCGCCCGTGTCGTCAGCACTCTAGCTGCTCAGCAAGTTGGTACTCACGTAGCGCGTATTCGGCATCCCCCGCCTTCTCTCCGTCGCCCTTGCATTAAACGGGCCACGTCACTAGGTTTAGCCGCGCGCAAGCGACATCGCCAACCTTAGGCATCACACGCACAATACGAAATCACTCCGCCTCGTCCTTATGCCACACACTTGGTCCTAGCCATCCCCCATCCTTCACTCGTCTGCCGCTCTACCCTCACGGCCGCTAGTTGCCCCCACGTCCGAACCCTAATCAGCCACGGGCGTTACAAGTGTACTCAGAGCGTCCTAGTTTAGACACTTCACGGCCAGAAGGCTCATGCAAGGCTTAACTTTGAGCATACGCACGTAGAACATTGAGGAAGCTTCGTCAACTCATTTGAAAAACATTCGAACCTTTCCTCCTAAGCTCCTTTCTCCCCACACAGCATCTTCACCCTGTCCTTTCAATATCCCCCTGCTATTCACCCTGTTGCCCTACCCCGATCTACTCCATCCCTTCCCCAATCCCAACCGTCCCCTGGCCCCTTCCCTTGTCGCTCTGTGTCCCCCTTTACTTCCCAATTGTGGGAGCCCTTCCACGCAGCTTTCCCTCCCCCATCGCATGCAGCTATTGCCGCTGCCTCGCACTCTCCCCCCATCCTGCATCTGGTCCCCACTCTCCTGTATTCCCCTCCTCCCCATTCCGAGCTCCCTTGTCCATCCAGCACCCTTGTTCATAGTTCATCCACACCCCATTGCCTCCTCTCTCTCACCCACGCCTCCCGTTTCCCCTTAGGCATCGCACTCCCCACTCCCTACCGTCCCTTCCCCCACCTTCCTCCTCACTACCTCCAAGCACTCCACCCACTGAGGCCAGGCCCTGCTCCCTCCCTGTCCCAGGAACACATGTATACCTCAACTCTCCCCCACTCATACCTCCCTACCGCGACCATGCAACCACCATAGCCATGCCACGCCGTCTGTGAGGATCTAGGATCGAGCTCAGGAAAGAGAGTTTGAATTGAATGATCCACTAGGGTACAACATGAGGCTATATATAGTCTCGACACAAGGCCAGTTACCTAGGTGTTACGCGAATGTGCTGAGGGTCGCGAAGCGTCCCGAACAGAACCTTTCCGAACTCAGTAGAAAGCATTTCGGTGGAAACCGAATAGGCTTGAGTTCGGTACACGTAACCTGGTGGTGCTATAACTATAATAAAATATAGGAATGCACCTAACCTAGGAAATCAGACATAACTATGCATGATAAAATAAACCCAAGCTAGTAATAGCATAATAAAGTCCAGGCAAGCTAGCAAAGCTAGCATAAGTCCGCGTACTCTCACACCGTGCCCCCAATAGGGGAGAGGATGGCCCCGGTTCAACCCGACGCTAAAGCGCGACCCAGGGCCGCCTTACCCCTTCCTCTGTTAAGTAAAAGCATGTCACCAGCGACCACTCACCCACAAGCGACACTGACACTGACCCCAGAGGTAAAACACGAGCCCTAGAAGGGAGACAGCGGCCCAACCACCCCCACACCCGCAGAAACAGGACCGCGAGGGTGCACTCCCACGCTCCAAGACTTGCCACATCCCAGCTGTCCCCCCACAGCCCCCCCCCCCTTCCAGGTGGCACTGACGGTGCAGCCCAGCAGTCAACAGATTCGCCCTCCACCACATCCACCTGCACTTATACCCAAAAAGCTAAATCACGCAAAAAGCACAAGCTATTGATTTAAACCTTGGAAACACAAGGCCAACCCCCACTAAGGGGCTGAAAGAGACAACACGTCAAGCCCCACTCGAGTCCAATAGAGAAGAGGAGGGGCTAGGGAAAGCCAGGGCTCTGGACCTGGACGTGCATGAGCGTACTACTGAGCGCACAGTTTGAACTTCGCTGTAACAATGGAATGTACCCTTTAGAGTACATGGATAGCCTAGGTCGTTTCGCATTCCTTTGTATTTCCTATATAAACTCGACGTATTCATGCTTTTATCATCTCAGTCATTTACATTCACTTACATCTAAAGTCAACACCTTTGCTGTAACAAACTATGTGCATCAACCCTGAGACGATCCTTTGCTAACTTCCTTTTAGGATTGTAACATGGTATGAACACCACTCAAGAATTCGTTGCAATTCTACTACCGAAAAATTTCGCCGAACCAAAACCTGGTGAGCGGCACACGCTCCAAGACCAAGATGGCCAGAGGATCCAGATGCCAAACAAATCTAACGGCTGAAGGACAAACCAACCCGGCTGCGACAAATGAGGCGACAACTATGATCAGTACCACTGCACTCGAGGAGCTGTATCAACAATTGTCAACCGTGGAGAAAGACCTCAAAGCACTGCGGAAAGAAGACGCGGGAACCTCCTTGCAACTAGCACAACCTGCTCAACCTGCTGCAAACGGCTACGATATCGCCCCGCACGCCTTCTCCCTAAACTCAAACAAATCAACACCAACATCCCTCGGCCAAGTGATGAAGTTATTAAATCTGCGCAAGCACGCTTCTTCAATGTTTCAAAGATCAAGACAAATACCGCGTTTGACGGCAAGAACTTTCATACATGGAGTTTTGAGCTAGAGCTCCCCCTACAGATATCGCAGATCTACCATTACTTCGACGACTCCTACCCTAAATCGGCTGAAGACACCGAAGACGCCCGGGCTCAGTACTACAGCGAGTCCCCCATGGCGTACAGTGTGCTGCTAAGAAACATGACGCCCGCGGAGCAACTTGGCATCCGCTCCTACAAAGAGAGCGCCGCTCCAGCCTTGGAAGCCTGGAAGCACCTCGCTGAGGTATATCAGCCGAAGGACTCAGTCACCTCCAGCAGGCTCCTGAAGCAACTCATGGAGACCAAGATGGGGCACGGGGAGAAAGCGAATCCGTTAATTGATCGCTGTTGGAACATCCGTGATCAAATCACAAAGCATGGAAGCGTGATCTTGGAGGAAATCCTTGTCAACAGCATGCTCCAAGGAGCCCTGCAAGGCGCTACTCCGGCAGAGAGGAACAATCTCGGAAGCTACACTATGCGCCGCACTCCTCACTGAACAACAAGACATGAACTCGAGCAAGACAAGCCCCGCGCCGCGAAGAGAGCGACTCGCCTTCTAGGCCGACAACCGTTGGAAGTACATCACGAACATGGGCTGTCTTATTGGCTTCTCTGGCCCTCCTCCATTCGACCACCCTCCATGTGTGAATAGAGCAACCATCATTCTCCACAATTCCCATTCCCTTTTTGTCTCGCCATCCCCATTCCCGACCTGGACCTAATCCCTGTCCCCCTCCCCTTCCCCTTTTTCACTCTCATCCCCATCCCCATTCCCTTCCCCTTTCCTATCCTCATGCCCTTTCCCCCCCCTCCTCATGTATTCATAGTCCATCCAAAAGCAAGCAAACATCATTTGCCAGCATCGATCTCTCATCGGGAGTGTTCCCGTTCCTCTCAACCACCAACCAGCCATGCATAGTCCAGCATTAGCATCCATACTCTGTCGATACTACACTCACGCACTGATCGGATCACTCATCAATGTATTCCTCTTCTCCCTTGTCACCTGTTCACTTTTCCCTTATCACCTGTTCACTTTTCCCTTATCATTCATCCACCCTTTCCTTACCATTCATCCACCCTTCCCCTATAATTCATCCAGTCTTCCCCTCTCATTTATCCGCCCTTCCCCTATCATTCATCAGCCCTTCCCCTATCAGCCTATCTGCCCTTCCCCTGTCACCCATTTGCCATTCCGCTGTGACCCATCCGCCCTTCGCCTGTCACCCATACACCCTTCACCTATCACCCATACGCCCCTCCCCAGTCACCCATACACCCCTCCACGCCCCCTCCCTGCACCTCATTGTCTCGGCCTCGAAGTTTGTTGAAGTTAGTCCCTCGCCCGTTTTTTTCCCTTTCTCGCTCTTCCCTCTCCCCCTCTTCCATCAGTCTTTTTTCCTTCTCTCCCCTCTTCTCCCGCTCCTAAGGGGTAGCTTTACGCTCATGGCGAGCACGGCAGCGGATCGCAAATGACATGTGGAACAGCAGGCAGCGCGTTTTTTTATTGAAGAACCAGCAACAAGGTTAGAAGTAGTTACGATAGACTTGGCCAGTTTCTTGGCCAGTCACGGTGGCAGCGGCGTCACGCAGTGCTCGTCGGGTGCTGCTCGCCTCGCCTGGCGTGCGCCCACCGCCCTTCCGCCAGGCGCGGACGATGGAAGTATGCACGACGAGAGTAGGTACGGGGAGAGTAGGGACGGGGAGAGTAGGGACGGAGAGAGTAGGGACGGGGAGAAGAGAATAGGGACGGGGAGAGTAGGGACGGGGAGAGTAGGGACGTGGAGAGTAGGGACGGGGAGAGTAGGGACGGGGAGAGTAGGGACGGGGAGAGTAGGGACGGAGAGAGTAGGAACGGAGAGAGTATGGACGGGGAGAGTAGGGACGAGGAGAGTAGGGACCGGGAGAGAAAGGACGGGGAGAGAAGGGACGGGGACAGTAGGGACGGGGAGATTAGGGACGGTGAGAGTAGGGACGGAGAGAGTAGGGACGGGGAGAGTAGGGATGGGGAGAAGCGAATAGGGACGGGGAGAGTAGGGACGGTGAGAGTAGGGACGGAGAGAGTAGGGACTGTCAGATTATTATAACTGATGCATGTTTGTAGGCTATAGTGGGGTAGCACATATGGGGTACAGCTTTCTAGGGTTGTATTTGTACCCAACTCTGACTTAGTCATTTCATTCCTGTTTTCCTTGCTTCACATGGTATCAGAGCGGTCTCGGGTTCGAATCCCGGTGTATGCACATGTTGGCCGTTGCCACTGTGCTCAGTCCTGGGCCTCCCAGTGTGGGGGGGTGTCAGTAGAGCTACACTGTGAGATCCCCGATCGATCCTAGGGGGGGTTACAGGCGCGTTTGCCTGGGGGGTTATGGGCGCACTGACCCGCTACTGAAACAAGCCCTTTTATCCCAATGGTCTAGTGGTTGGGATTCTGACATGGTATAGAGCGGGTCCTGCCTTAGGACCGTTTTTTTTAGGGCCCACCGAAGCGCGCCCCGAGGCGCGCCCTTTTTTTTTTTTTTTAGCGACCCCTCGGGTCGCCTTTTCCCTCGCGGCCCCGCTGTCCCTCAGACGCGGCCCCGCCACCTCTCCTGATCGCGGCCCCGCCGCCTGCTTGACGCGGCCCCGCCGCCTCCCCTGACGCGGCCCCGCCGCCTCCCCTGACGCGGCCCCGCCGCCTCCCCTGACGCGGCCCCGCCTCTACTGCCGCGGCCCCGCCGCCGCCTCTGACGGCCCCGCCGCTGCACCCTACGGCCCGCCGCTGCACCCTACGGCCCGCCGCCTCTGACGGCCCCGCCGCTGCTCCTGTCGGCCCGCCGCTGCTCCTGCCGGCCCGCCGCCTCACCTGACGGCCCCGCCGCTGCTCCTGCCGGCCCGCCGCTGCTCCTGCCGGCCCGCCGCTGCACCTGCCGGCCCGCCGCTGCACCCAGCGGCCCGCCGCTTCACCTGACGGCCCCGCCGCTGCACCTGCCGGCCCGCCGCGGCACCCTACGGCACGCCGCTGCACCCTACGGCCCGCCGCCTGCACCTGCCGGCCCGCCGCTGCACCTGCCGGCCCGCCGCTGCACCTGCCGGCCCGCCGCTGCACCTGCCGGCCCGCCACTGCACCGGTCGACCCGCCGCTGCACCTGACGGCCCCGCCCCTGCATCTCCCGGCCGAGCCGCCCCAGCAGCCGAACTGCCCGGGAGCCGAGCCGCCCAACGCCGAGCCGCCCGGGACCCGAGCCGCCCTGCCGGCGAGCCGCCCGGGAGCCGAGCCGCCCTGCACGCGAGCCGCCCAGCCGCCGAGCCGCCCTGCGCCCGAGCGGCCCAGCCGCCGAGCCGCCCGGGAGCCGAGCCGCTGTGCACCCGAGCCGCCCGGTCGCTGAGCCGCCTTTCTGCATAGCTGCACGACCTGCCCTGCCTGGTGAGCACAGTCCCACTGACACTGCGAGCTCTTTCCCTACTGCTTGCACTGCGTCGCTGTCGTCGCCATGGCTACCCCTAGTGTCCTAGCTTTTGACGCTGAGGGTCGCGCCATTGATTTTGAGGTCTGGTTAGACGACCTGCAGCTGTTCTTACAGTGCGACAGGGCTGACGACCTTTCTCTCTTTGACCTCACCTCTGGCGCCTCTCCTGCTCCTGCTGCTGATGATGATCCCGCTGTCCGCTCTAAGTGGGCCACCCGCGATGCTGCTGCACGTCTTGCTGTGCGTCGCCACCTCCCTACCTCTGAGCGTGCGCACTTTAGTCAGTACAAGAGTGCTCAGACCTTGTACGACGCTGTAGTTGCGCGCTACTCCTCCCCTGCCACTGCTGCACTGAGCCGTCTCATGCTTCCCTACCTCTTTCCTGACCTCTCTGCCTTTCCCACTGTCGCTGACCTCATTACGCACCTCCGCACTAGTGACACTCGCTACCGCGCCGCCCTTCCTGCTGAGTTCTGCGCTAAGAACCCCCCCCCCATGTACATCGCTCTCTACTACGTAGTCGCGCGCCTCCCTGACTCCCTTCGCGTCGTCAGGGACCACTTTCTCGCAGTCTGTCCCACCACCCTCACCATCGACCTCCTCGAGAAGGCCCTCCTCGCAGCGGAGAAGAGCATAGTCGCTGTAGGTGCTTCTCGTGGTGACCCTCGCACCCCCATCTTTGAGGGGTGCTCTCCTTCCCCCTTGCTGCCCTCTGTTGCCTCTGCTGCTGCTGCCGACCTGCTTGGTCTTGAGTCGGTCGGCGCGGCGTCTGCCCCTAGTGGGAGACGTCGCTCCAGCAAGGGCAAGGGGGGCAAGGGCGCGGGTGGAGCTGGAGGGGGCGGTGGCGGTGGCGGCGGTGGCGGCGGAGGGAGTGGGGGTGGCGGCGGGACTAGTGGTGGAGGTGGTGGTGGTGGTGGCAGCAGTGGCGGAGACGGTGGTGGTGGTGCCAGCGGTGGTGGTGGAGGCAGCGGCGGTGGTGGAGGCGGCGGAGGTGGAGGCGGTGGAGGCGGCAGCGGAGGAGGCGGTGGTGGTGGAGGAGGTGGAGCTGGTCGAGGTGGTACCCAGCAGCGTAGCGGCGGTGGTGGTGGCCAGCGCTCGCAGCGGCAGCAGCAGCAGCGCTCGCGGGACATCCCTCCGCCTCAGCAGCTTCGTGAGTGGTACGCTGGGCGTCAGAGGGGTGGGGGTACTGGTCCCTGCACCTACGTTCTTCGTTCCGGCGACCGCGCGGGTGAGCAGTGTGGGGGTGCCCACGCCACCCAGCGCTGCTTTGGCCGCCTGACGGACGCTTGGCGTCAGCAGTTCCCTGGGGCTAGTGAGATCCCTCGCTGGGATGAGCTTCTCAGGGCTGGTGTAGCGATCTTTGATCTTGATTTTGATGCTATCCTTGCTGCTATGTATGTTGTGGATTATAGTGAGGAGAATGAGGGTTACCGTTGTTTCCAGCCCGGCCCGGGCATTGGTACTGCTGCGCTAGGTGCTTGTGAGGCTGCTGCTCTAGGTGCCAGTGCGTCTGTGCTCTCAGGTACTGGTGAGAATGCGCTCTCAGGTACTGCGTCGTCCTCGTCCTCCCTCACTTTCACACTTGACTCCGGAGCTTCTCGCTCCTTCTTCGAGACCGCACTACCCTTACGCCGCTCGGCCGGCCGGTTGCGGTCTCCCTTGCTGACCCCTCTGGGGGTCCTGTCCTGTCTCACTTCTCCACTGTCCTCCCGTGTCCGGCTGCCCCTTCGGGCACCCTGTCGGGTCTGTACCTTCCCTCGTTCTCTACGAACTTGGTGAGTGGAGCGGACCTGCAGGATGTGGGGGTTCACCAGTTCACTCCTGCGAGTCAGCGGGTGACCCACTGCACGGAGGCACGCACAGGCCGACACCTGGCCACGTTCTCGCGTCGGCCGGGGTCGAGTCTCTACACCCTGACTGTTGAGTCTCCTCCTGTCCCTGCGTCTGGTCAGGTGGCTGCGTCGGGTCAGGTGCTTGCTGCTGCGTCCCGGTCAGGTCCTGAGTCTGCCCCCTGTTCTTGTCGCCTCCTGTCTCACGAGACTCTCCTGTGGCACCACCGTCTTGGCCACCCCTCCTTGCCCCGTCTTCGGAGCATGGCTTCCCGTGTCCTTGTCTCTGGTCTTCCCCAGTCTCTCCCTCCTCTCCCCTCCGGGCCAGGACCTTCCTGTGTCCCCTGTGTCGAGGGTCGCCTCCGGGCTACTCCTCACTCCTCCCACTTCCCCCCGACAGAGGCTCCCCTGCAGACGCTTCACATGGATGTGTGGGGCCCAGCCCCCGTCCGTGGGCAGGGTTACGAGCGCTACTTCCTGTTGGTGGTTGACGACTACTCGCGTTACACCACAGTCCTCCCCTTGCGCAGCAAGGGTGCGGTCACTGAGGTGCTGATCGACTGGATCCGCGAGGCTCGTCTCCAGCTCAGGAAGAGCTTCGGCTCGGACTTTCCTGTTCTGCGTCAGCACTCTGACAGAGGCGGACAGTTCTCTTCTCGCCTTCTGCGGGACTACTGTCGTGCACGGGGGATCCGCCAGACCTTCACGCTTCCGGACTCACCACAGCAAAATGGGATTGCTGAGCGCCGCATTGGTATGGTCATGGATGTCGCTCGTACGTCCATGATGCATGCGGCTGCCCCCCATTTTCTGTGGCCGTTTGCGGTGAGGTACGCGGCGCATCAGCTCAACCTTCACCCCCGGGTCTCTCGGCCTGCAATGTCCCCAGCCTTGCTGTGGACGGGGAAGGTTGGCGATGCGTCGGTGTTCCGTGTCTGGGGATCTCGGGCGTTTGTCCGCGACTTGTCTGCGGACAAGCTGTCCCCTCGTGCTGCTCCCTGTGTCTTCCTTGGCTTCCCCACTGACGCCCCAGGGTGGCAGTTTTACCACCCCTCCTCTCGTCGTGTTCTGTCCTCCCAGGACGTCACGTTCGACGAGTCAGTCCCCTTCTACCGTCTCTTCCCCTACCGCACTCCTTCCCTCCCCCCTCCCCCGGACTTCCTTGTGCCGGTTCCCCCCCCGGTAGACCCCCTCCCCCCTCAGGTTCCTGCCCCCTCAGGTGTGTCCCAGGTAGACGCCGTTGACCCGGTCGAGGTTACTGGTGACTCTGGTGCTGCTGCGGGTGCTGAGCCTGGGGGTGCTGACTCTGGGGGTGCTGTGCGCGGGGGTGCTGAGCCTGGGGGTGCTACTGCTGGGGGTGCTGGGCCTGAGGGTGCTACTGCGGAGGGTGCGGAGCCTGGGGGTGCTGAGCCGGGGGGTGCTGTGCCTGGAGGTGCTGGGTCTGGGGGTGCTGGGTCGGGAGCTGCTGAGCCTGGGGGTGCTGAGCTGGGAGCTGCTGAGCCTGGGGGTGCTGCGTCTGGAGCTGCTGAGCCTGGGGTTTCTCCTGCTACTGCGTCTCGCCGAGAGCCCCTCTCTCCACAGGAGCTGCGCGAGTGGTTCGCTCGCCGCTGGAGGCGTGCTGCTGAGTCTGGAGGTGCTGCTGGAGCTGGAGCTGGAGCTTCTTCGACCGTCGAGGGTGCGGGTGCTGCCGGTCCCGGAGCTGCTGGACCTGCGGGTCCTCCTGGAGCTGGAGCTGCTGAGGGCGCTGGTGCTGAGCCTACTGCTGTTGGTCCTGCCGCTGGAGGTGTGGGTGGCGCTGGTGCTGTCGCTGAGGGTGCTGGTGCTGTCCCTGCTGCGTCTGGAGCTGCCGCGCGGCCTCGGCCGTACTTCGTTCCGCTCCTGCAGCAGGTTCTTGGTCTTTCTCCTCCAGTAGAGGGTCCACCGCCTGTCCAGTCGCAGTCCCTGCTGGAGCCTTCCTCTCCACTGCCTGCTCCCTCTCCTTACACTGGTCCTACTGGAGGTCTTGCTGAGCGTCGTGAGCCTGCGTCTCGTCCCGCGTCGCCTGTTCGCACTGCTCGCGCTAGTGGTCGCAGTTCGCGTCAGCGTCCTCCTCGTGTCCCTGGCACGCACCGGATGTCTTTGCGTCCGTCCACTGCTCCTCTGCGTGCCCCTTTGCCTTCTCCTCCTGAGTCCTCTCTTCCTGCGCTTGCCGACCCTGGGTCGGACTCTCTTCGTGCTGCTAGTCCTACTGTCACGCGTCTGCTTGCTACTATTGTCACTGACCCCTCTTTTGAGTCCACTGCTGCGTCTGCTCTAGTCGCTGAGCTCGTCGACTTTGCTGCTCGCTGTCGTCTCGAATACGCTGCTAGTCTTGTTGCTGAGTCTGCGTCTGTCTGTCCTCCGTCCGTCGGGGGTGAGTGTGCTCTTGGCACGGACGTCCTAGAGGACAGGCAGGAGGAGTTACAGTGTCTAGCGGCTGCTTCACCTCATCTCGCGTCTGTACTGCTTGCCCCTGAGGGAGACCCGGATGCACTAGACATCCCGACTCCGCGTTCTTACGCGGAGGCCGTAGAGGGTCCCTACTCCTCTCAGTGGCAGGCAGCTATGGATGGATAGATGGCTTCCTGGAAGTCCACAGGCACCTACGTTGACGCGGTTCCCCCTCCTGGGGCGAACATCGTCAGTGGCATGTGGATCTTCAGGGTGAAGCGGCCGCCGGGCTCTCCACCTGTCTTCAAGGCACGGTACGTTGCTCGTGGCTTCTGTCAGCGGCAGGGAGTTGACTACTTTCAGACCTTCTCTCCCACCCCGAAGATGACTACTCTTCGGGTGCTGCTGCACATAGCCGCTCAGCGCGACTACGAGCTTCACTCTCTCGACTTCAGAACTGCGTTCTTGCAGGGTAGCCTGCACGAGGAGATCTGGCTGCGCCGTCCACCTGGCTTCACTGGGACTTTCCCTCCTGGCACCCAGTGGAGCCTCCGACGGCCAGTCTACGGTCTCCGCCAGGCACCGCGTGAGTGGCACGACACACTGAGGACTACGCTTGCGGCTCTTGGGTTTGCTCCTTCTACTGCTGACCCGTCGCTGTTTCTTCGCACCGACACTTCCCTGCCGCCGTTCTACATCCTCGTGTACGTCGACGACTTGGTCTTTGCCACAGCAGACACTGCTGGACTCACCTACGTGAAGTCCGAGCTGCTGAAGAGACACACGTGCACAGACCTGGGTGAACTGCGCAGCTACCTTGGCTTGCAGATCACTCGGGACAGAGCACGCCGCACCATTACCTTGACTCAGTCACACATGGTGCAGCAGGTCCTTCAGCGCTTCGGCTTCACGTACTCCTCGCCTCAGGCCACTCCTCTGCCTACTCGCCACTCACTCTCAGCTCTGCCTTCGGATGAGTCCGTAGAGTCGAGTGGTCCGTATGCAGAGCTTGTTGGCTGCCTCATGTACCTGATGACCTGCACACGACCTGACCTTGCATACCCTCTGAGCATTCTTGCTCGCTATGTTGCTCCTGGGAGACACAGACCGGAGCACATGGCTGCAGCGAAGAGGGTATTGCGCTACCTGTGCAGCACGTCGGGCATGGGGCTAGTGCTTGGAGGGCGGAGTCCAGTGGTCCTTACCGGCCACGCGGACGCTTCTTGGGCTGACGACCAGGCTACACAGCGGTCGTCACAGGGTTACACCTTCAGCCTTGGTTCCGGCTCTGTCTCGTGGCGGTCTACTCGCTCGTCTTCGGTTCTCGGCTCCAGTTGTGAGGCTGAGATCTACGCCGGGGCCATGGCTGCACAGGAGCTTCGCTGGCTCACCTACCTGCTGACTGACCTTGGAGAGCCGCCTCGTTCTCCTCCAGTGCTGTACGTAGACAACAAGGCCATGCTGGCCTTGTGTCGAGAGCAGCGCTTGGAGCACAGAACGAAGCACATTGCTCTCCGCTACTTCCTTCCTCGTGAGCTGCAGCAGCGTGGTCAGTTGCGACTTGCGTACGTGGCCTCTGAGGCCAACACTGCTGATGTGTTCACCAAGGCACTCGCGCCTTGTGACCATCAGCGCTTTTGCACCCAGCTGGGTCTTGTGCCTGTCTTGCCTCACTTGCTCTCCTCTTGACTTCACTTGTACTGTGACATATATATATACCTGCTCTTGCTTGTCTAGTTTTATATATATGTCTGTACTCCTGCATGTGAACTGGCCTCTGGCCCTGCTCTTGTGCTCGGACTGTGTGGTGACGTTGTGATCCACCCTGAGCTTGCTTTGCTTTGCTTTGCTTGACTGGTCTTGTGACCCCTTGTTCTCCCCCACTTTGCCTATGGGGGTGTGTCGGATTATTATAACTGATGCATGTTTGTAGGCTATAGTGGGGTAGCACATATGGGGTACAGCTTTCTAGGGTTGTATTTGTACCCAACTCTGACTTAGTCATTTCATTCCTGTTTTCCTTGCTTCACAGGGACGGGGAGAGTAGGGATGGGGAGAAGCGAATAGGGACGGGGAGAGTAGGGACGGGGAGAGAAGGGACGGGGAGAGTAGGGACGGGGAAGAAGTGACGTTGAGAGAAGGGACGGGGAGAGTAGGGACGGGGAGAGTTGGGACGGAAAGCGTAGGGACAGGGAGAATAGGGACGGGGAAAGTAGGGACGGGAAGTAGAGAATAGGGACGGAGAGAGTAGGGACAGGGAGAGTAGGGACGGGGAGAGTAGGGACGGGGAGAGTAGGGACGGGGAGTATAGGGACGGGAAGAGTAGGAACGAGGAGAGTAGGGACGGAGAGAGTAGGGACGGGGAGAGTAGGGATGGGGGGAATAAGGACGGGGAGAGTAGGGATGGGGGGAATAGGGACGGGGAGAGTAGGCATGAGGAGAGGGAGGCGTTTTCGTAATTGGATAATGAGAGGTTTAGCATGTGCACTCAGCTGCTCAAGAGGGTAGGTGACTTCGATTTTTCTTCTTCCCATCGTTTTTCCATCGTGTTGTGTTTCTGCATGCCTGTGGTCTACGACTTGGTTGATGATGGGAAGTCAGCGTGGTGAGGTCGATACACTACAACATACAAATTCTATGTCGGCGGTATCTGACAGGTCGGCATCGCAAACAACCCTACGAGACGTCGGCGACCACGTCTGACTACTTTGACGACGCCGACGTTCCACGTCTGGAAAAAAACAAGTGCCAGCCGTTAAGGGAACGGACAAGAAGCTAAGTGACAGCACACGGATGGAACGCACACAGAATGGCAGGCAGAATGAGCGACCTTCACTGGGACCACGGATTGGTATGGTCGTGAGTGACTCCGCACCACTTGGCGCTCCATGCAAACCCCTGTGCAGGACGCCGCTATGCATGTACGCTCGTGCGGCGGCGCCGTGTCCGACGTGCCACCAGGCGTGCATGGCTGCTTGCTTGAAGCACTTCGCTCATGATGCGCTTTTCATGGCTATTACACGCTGGCTTTTTCGTGCGGTACATGGTGTGGTCCCAAATCTGGTCCAAACAAGGTGCAGCACGGTAATTCGAGGGCTAGAGACACTGCCACGTGGCACCAATATGAAGCTCTTCTGGTCGACGACGACATTCCCGCCGCCTCAGGATCCATTGCACCTAGGCATAGGTAGGGGACGGTTGGATTTCTCCTTGCGCATGTGGGCAACCGTGGGATGAAGGCCGCGTGGTACGCACCGACCTGGCCACGGTTCGGCGCGAATATTTCCCACGCGAAGCACCCCAACCCTCGGTTGGCCCATCGTGGCCATCCTGGCAGACCTCGATGGCCACGCCATCAAGGGGTCAACCTCGGACGTCCCTTTGTGGCCGCGTGGCGATCATCGCGCCCCGACGTGCTGAGCTGGGATTCTGACATGCGCTGAGACGTCCTTCTCGGGATTGTCTCAGCGGAACCCTAGGTCGTCAGGTCGTCGACAATCCCGAGGGCTCACCAGCACAGGGCCCAGCCAGATCGCCTGGGCTTTCCACGCGGAGGTCGTCGTGGGTTCGTCAACCCCGAGGAGGGGGGTGTCAAACATTATATATGTTGTGCTTGTTTAGGCTATAGTGGGTTAGCCTATAGGGGGTACACAATTCTAGGGTTAGGTACTTGTAGTGATTTCACTGTTAGTTCCACCATTCCTGTTCGTTCATTTCAACATGGTATAGAGCAGGTCCTTCGCTAGGACCGCTTTTTTAGGGCCCACCACTACCTACCTACCTACCTACCTAACTGCGCCCTAGGGCGCCTCGTTTTTTTTTCACGGCCCCCTAAGGCCCCGCGACCCGCGACCCGCCCCTTAGCGACTCGCGCGCCGCCCCTTAAGGCCCCGTCGGCCCACGCGCTCGCCCCTTACGGCCCCGCGCTCGCCCCTTAGCGACCCTCTCGGCCCCACGATCGCCCTTAACGGCCCCGTCGGCCCCGCGCTCAGCTCCCTAGAGGCCCCCGTCGGCCCCGCGCTCGCCCTTAGCGGCCCCTTACGGCCCCGCGCTCGCCCCTAGAGGCCCCGAACGACCTTGCGCTCGCCCTTAGCGGCCCCTTACGGCCCCGCGCTCGCCCCTAGAGGCCCAGAACGGCCCCGCGCTCGCCCTTTGCGGCCCCTTACGGCCCCGCGCTCGCCCCTAGAGGCCCCGTTCGGTCCCGCGCTCGCCCTTAGAGGCCCCGAACGGCCCCCCCCAGAACGAGCCGCCCGACCCGAGCAGCCCAAACCGAGCCGCCCAGCCTGAACCGAGCCGCCCAGCCCAAACCGAGCCGCGCCGCCCGAACCTAGCCGCGCCGCCCTTCCCGAGCCGCGCCGCCCTACCTGAACCGAGCCGCGCCGCCCGTACTGGACCGAGCCGCCCTACCTAAGTCGCACTGCCTACTGTTTTTGGGGTGCCCCTACTGCTATTACTCCTACTACTGCTATGGCTAGCCCTCCTGTGCTAGCTTTCGATGCTGAGGGCCGCCCAGTGAAGTTCGAAACCTGGTTAGATGACCTACACCTCTTCCTACAGCTCACTACCAAGGAGGACATCTCACTGTACAATCACGCCCTAGGCCATGCTCCTACTCCAGCTGCTACTGCTGACAGCACTGCCCGCTCACAGTGGCAGACTCGTGACGCCCACGCTCGCTTCGCTATTCGCAACTCCCTGCCGATAGATGAGCGCGAGCACTTTGGGCAGCACAAGACTGCACAGGCACTGTACACTGCTGTCGTTGCCCGCTACTCCTCACCGGCCTCTGCCGCACTAGGCCGTCTCTCTCTTCCCTACTTGTTCCCCGACTTAGCCTCTTTCCACACAGTCGCTGACCTCATTACGCACCTCCGCACTAGTGAGGCTCGCTTCCGCGCCGCTATGCCTGATGAGTTCCTTGCCAAGAACCCACCCCCACTCTAGCTCACTCTCTACCACCTAGTCACCCGCCTCCGTGACACTCTGCGCTCAGTCAGGGACCACTTCTTAGCTCGCTGCCCCACTGAGCTCACCATTGCCCTCTTCGAGAAGGAACTCCTTGCAGCTGAGGCTAGCATAGTCGCTGTAGGTGCCTCTCGTGGCGACCCCCGTACCCCGTTCTTTGAGGGGTGTTCTCCTTCCCCCCTTCTTCCCTCTGTCGCCTTTGCTGCTGCTGTCGACCTCCTTGGTGCTGAGAAGGTCGGGACTGCGTCTGTTTCGAGCGGGCGCCACAGCGGCAAGGGCAAAGGGGGCAAGGGCGGTGGCGGTGACAGCGGGGGAGGCGGTGGTGGGGGCGGTGGCGGCGGTGGGGGTGGTGGCGCGACTAGAGGGGCTAGTGGCAGCGGTGGGGGTGGTGGCGGCAGCGGCGGGGGAGGTGGCAGGGGCGGAGGCGGTGGTGGGGGTGGCGGTGGACGCGGCGGCGGCAGGGGTTGGGGTGGTCGAGGAGGTGGCGGCGACGGTGGTGGTCGTGGAGGCGCTGGCGGTGGCCAGGGCCAGCAGCACACTCCGTCGCCCCAGGAGGTCCGTGAGTGGTACTCTCAGCACGGGGGAGGGGGGGGGGGGGGTGGCTTTAGCTGCACGTACGTCATTCGCACTGGTGACCGCACTGATCAGCCGTGTGGGGGACCGCACGCCACACAGCGCTGCTTCACTCGTCTCAACGACGCTTGGCGTGTTCAGTTCCCTCAGGCCACTGAGCTGCCCCGCTGGGTTGATCTCCTGAAGAAGGGGATTGATATCTATGCTCTAGACTTTGATGCTATTCTCACTGCTATGTATGTGATGTCTACTAGTGGAGAGAGTGCTGAGTACCTGTGTGTGCCGCCCGACCCGGGCATTAGGACTAGTGCATCAGCCGCTCCAGGTACTCGCGTGTCTGCTACCCCAGGTGCTGGTGAGGCAGCTGCTCTAGGTGCTTGTGCGTCTGCCCCCCCTGGTACTGAGTCGACGGCAGCACTGCACACCTTCACACTGGACTCAGGTGCTTCTCGCTGCTTCTTTCGTGACTGCACTGCCCTTGAGCCGCTTGCTCGGCCAGTTGCTGTCTCCCTCGCTGACCCCTCTGGGGGTCCGGTCATTGCGACCTCCTCCACTGTCCTTCCCTGTCCTGCGGTCCCGTCGGGCACACTGTCAGGTCTCCACCTCCCCTCGTTCTCTACGAACTTGGTGGCACGTAGTGCACTCCAGGACGGGGTTGTTCACCAGTTCACCCCTGCCTACGAGCGCGTGACACACTGCACGTGTGCTCGTACGGGCCCCCACTTGGCTACCTTCACTCGGCAGCCGGGGTCGGACCTGTACACACTGACCACTGAGTCCCCTCAGGTCGCTGCGTGTGCGTCTGCGTTCTCCTCAGGTCAGCTCTCTGCCCCCTACTTGTGTCGCTCTCTGGCGCACGAGACTGTCCTCTGGCACCACCGACTTGGCCACCCGTCTGTGCAGCGCCTTCGTGCCATGCACTCCCGGTACCTTGTCTCCGGTCTTCCCAGAGTTCTCCCTTCCCTCCCACCCTCGCCTGCTCCTCCCTGTCTTTCCTGCGTCGAGGGGCGGCAGCGCGCCGCTCCTCACTCCTCCTCGTTTCCCCCGACGACTGCTCCCTTGCAGACGCTCCACATGGACGTGTGGGGCCCAGCCCGCATCCGTGGTCAGGGTCAGGAGAGGTACTTCCTGATAGTTGTTGACGACTACTCGCGCTACACCACGGTCTTCCCCTTGCGCACCAAGGGTGAGGTCCCTAATGTCTTGATCCCTTGGATCTGCAGAGCCCGTGTCCAGCTCAGCGAGCGTTTCCACTCGGACTTTCCTGTCCTGCGCTTGCACTCTGATAAAGGTGGTGAGTTCTCCTCCGACCTCTTGGCAGCCTACTGTGCTGAGCACGGCATTGAGCACTCGTTCACGCTTCCGGCCTCTCCACAGCAGAATGGGATTGCAGAGCGCCGCATTGGCCTGGTCATGGAGGTCGCCCGTACCTCCTTGATCCATGCGGCTGCCCCCCACTTTCTGTGGCCGTTTGCGGTCCGGTACGCTGCTCATCAGCTCAACCTCTGGCCCCGTGTCTCCTTGCCGGAGGTTGGCGATGCGTCGCGTTTCCGGGTCTGGGGATCTTGAGCTTTTGTCCGCGATACGTCTGCGGACAAGCTCTCCTCCCGTGCTGTTCCCTGCGTCTTCCTCGGCTTTGTCCCGGACGCGCCTGGTTGGCAGTTTTACCACGCCACCTCGCGCCGAGTCTTGCCCTCTCAGGACGTCACCTTTGACGAGTCCGTCCCCTACTACCGCCTCTTCCCCTACCGCACTGCCCCGCTCCCCCCCCCGCCTCTCTTCCTCGCGCCAGGTGCTGCTGTCGTAGACCCCCTCCCCCCTCAGGGTGCCGCTCCCTCAGGTGTGTCTCAGGTAGACCCGGTTGAGCCTGTTGAGGTAGCTGTCGACTCTCTTCCTGCTGTGGGTGCGGAGCCTGGGGGTGCTGAGCCTGGGGGTGCTGAGCTTGGGGGTGCTGAGCTTGGGGGTGCGGAGCCTGGGGGTGCGGAGCCTGGGGGTG